TAAATATGGCAATTATTACTCGTAGTAAACGGAATTTATGATGTCTTTTTACATAGTACAGGGGGCATTGACATACTAAGAATTCTTTCTCTGACCTCCCCCCTCTCTGTCTCTCTCTCTATAACCGATCTAACTGTTAAAGTATGGCATGGTTTAAAGCATTTTTTAAAAGGGAGTGATGAGAAAAAGTATCTCTACTAATGACCTATGACCTTGTCCCTGAATACACCGGAAATTGTCCAGACCTAATGACACGTTTGTCGTCACCTCTCTACATCTACAAATCCATCCGGATAAAGTTACGATTAAGGATTAGATACGTTACTTATTATATACAAGTCGACCTCCCCCTTATAACACTGTTGATTTTTCCGTTTTATATGAATTCCGTGTTGTACGAGTCACTTAGATTTTACAAATACGTGTGCAGGGATGTGAACGGCTCACGTATTTGTAAAATCTAAGTGACTCGTACAACACGGAATTCATATAAAACGGAAAAAACAACAGTGTTATAGGGAGGGGGGTCGACTGTATAAGATTTCATAGGTTTTTTTCTCCCTTATAAATGTTGATAAGAAACGTAAACCGACCATCCCAAAAACTAAACATTTCGAATTTATGACTCGTGTAAGTCTTTATAACTCTATATTTTTATATAAATAATAATACACTTAGGAGGGGGTGAGTGGATTTAACTCGTATATTTGGCACGTAACTAATTATCTTCGTGTTCGCTGGCCCTGTTACTATTATTATTATTATTATTAACCATCTGTTGCGTAACGAAATCTAGAAAAATATTCTAGAAATTCCAAAGGATATTTTAGGAATTCGCTCCTCCATTCCTATAATTGCTAGAGAGATTCCCAAGCATTTTTCCTAGAATCGTGAGTATTTTATAATTAAATTTACAATATAATCTTCTATATTTATATACTAAAAAGTTATATTAAACGTATATATAAAATATAAACGTATTTTTTAATGTATTACACTAGTAACTTGTATACTAAATACAGTCGACACCCCCCTATAACACTATTGATTTTTCCGTTTTATACGAATTCCGTGTTGTACGAGTCACTTATATTTCACAAATACGTGAGCCGTTTACATCCCTGCACACGTATTTGTAAAATCTAAGTGACTCGTACAACACGGAATTCATATAAAACGGAAAAAACAACACCCCCTATAACAGTATTGATTTTTCCGTTTTATACGAATTCCGTGTTGTACGAGTCACTTATATTTTACAAATACGTGAGCCGTTTACATCCCTGCACACGTATTTGTAAAATCTAAGTGACTCGTACAACAAAGAATTCATATAAAACGGAAAAAACAACAGTGTTATAGGGGGGGTCGACTGTATTTAGTGTACAAGTTACTGGTGTAGAATATCTCTCTATATCAAACAATAAAGTCCTTTTATATCATATAATCGAGTTATAAATAAACAAATGGAGTTTATAATGCAATCTGATACGAGAAGAACACACATCTGTGTGTGTGTGTATGTCCATACTTTCTAGATTATGAGATGGGAGGGGGATGTTTTAATACATTTTTCTATTATTTAAGTAATTTAATTATAATATTAACCTATAAAATAACAATTATAACTCGCCTGGTATGCAGACGTCGACGTATTAAATATATTTATAATGAAAACTGTCTGTTTTCTACACGTTATTAACTAATTATCGTGTGTGTTTGCTGATGCTTCTACTGTACTTCTAATGCAAAAAAATACTAAATTATAATAAGAAAACATCCCGGAAGTACGAAAATATATTATAATTGGCTTATTTTACTAAGAGATTTTACTGTATATCATTAAGATAATTGATTTTTTAATTAGAGAAATGAGAAGGGGGTGGTGAATGGTTGTTACTTTTTTCTTCTTTATTTTTTTAAATTTCTACTTGTTTAATATTCAATTTTGTGATCGATGAATCGAATACGACCTGTTTTCGTTACCTGTTCGACCACACCTGGTGAAATCACGTGTCTAACTCCCGTGTATTGGTAGAATTTGGTCATAAAAACCCCCCAGGAATCAACATAAGGTGGTTGGAACACCCGGTGTTTCTTTCAGACAGAATACATTTTCAGGGGATCTGAGGGGTTACAAGTGTAATATATATATATAGGCCTATATATACATATATACACGTATATATACCTGTATATATAGAAACAATAATCATTATTTCAATGTATACTGTAGACTCTTTAAGACAGGTATTTTATTATTCCCCTGAATCCCTCTGAAAGGAGGGGGGTATTTTGAAGATTTAAGACTAATTTCTCGAGTGTTTTTTCACTTTATTCCCATAATTTATAGGAAAATAATACATTTTTGATTGTACTAAACCTCTGAGATTCAAATTCCTCATGCAAATCAGTGGCATTCAGAGAGAGAGAGAGGGGGGGAGAGATCTACTTTATCCACTTTAACAATCGAATTTTGATATATTTAGTAAATTTATCCGTAGAAAAAGACTATAAAGATCATAAAAGAATAGGAAATTTTGTATAAATTCCATAATAATAATAAAAAAACAGAGCTGAAAATCTCCGTTGTGTGTTGAAAGCATGGAATCAAGATCAGTTGTATTGAAAGATTTACAACGTATGGCATATTTCTATAGATAATTCAGCTGATGTGTGTATTTTATAGATATATAAGAATAGAAAATTCTGTATTTTAAATTCTACAAATAATCTTTAACACGCTGAGATACTTTTAAAGTTGGATCGACTTAAATTCTCTCACACCAACAACCGTAAGCTTAGATAAAACGCTGAATAGCATTAAAAAAACTAAAAGGAGATGGAAAAAGTATATATAAATCAATGACAGAGAGATATATTTCCTTATATATTCAATAGAAAACCGACAAAACAGCAGGGAACACGAAGAGCAAAGAGAAGAGAGAAGAGAGAATTTGTCCTCATCTTTGCAGCATCCATTTATAAATAGGAATAAAATGATAATGAAGGAGATACAAGAGATAAAAAATAATATAAAATAAAATCACTACGTAGTAAAATATTATTTATTCATAACATTTACCAGGATATGAGACTAAGAAGCATCCGAAAGGATGCTGAGGAGTATACATCATCTGATAGATGATGATGTTATATACACTTTACGACGTCGAAATCTTCATAAATCTTTAATATATTCCCTTTCTTAATGTATTAAAAGCATCATTCATCATTTAAAATTAATCCTTGATGTATTTTTTTATCTAAAAATTAAATAATATTCTCTCGAATTTCTCATTAATGTCTTCAACTTCTTATCTCCTCTAACCACTCCTCATCGGTATTTATATGCTTAAATTAAGACTAAGGGGCCCTACGAGGCCCTAAACTATTTTAAGGAGGGGGCCCTAGTTTCTTATAAGACCACCTCTTAAGTTATATCAGTCGTGTGTGTGCGAAATTGGCGAAATGCCCTCGTGTTATTAAGCAGTACAACCGTAATTATAACCGTAACAATCCCTTCTTCTGACGTGACACTTATCAGTTTGTTACGTTTATTTTTTATTTATTTTTCCTCATTCGTGCACTTGAAATTGCTTAAATTGATTTTCTAGGCTTTTAAAAGGCCCGGGCTCTTTAAAAGTCCTGTTCTCTCTCCCTCTAGAAGGCCCTAATCGCAGCATAAAGTAGACTCTTCCTTACTGCTTCTCTCAAACTTCAGGAGGCCCCCCAGCATAAAGGGCCTCTTCGTTACGTCAGGAGGCCCCAGACACTGTAGAAATTATGGAATATCCCTGTATATATATAAATATATACCATTTGTTACGATACAGCGAGCTATTTATGGCATAAAACGCCTGCATCACTAATACTATATTATTAAGTTAACTTCTAGGAACAACTTAAAATTGCATAGTGTCTTTCTACAAAATCCCTGTTAGTTTACGTTTCCTCGAATTTATTTTCTTTAATTAACAACTACAAACTCGAGAAAAAATAAAGAAAATAGAACAGGTTAACCCGTCCAGGTGTTTAATAAGAATGATTCATCTATCACCTCTATTGACCTTTAAATAACCTCGTTGCATCGATTTACACGTAAATTTAGGGTCCTTTTTATAATTTTATTTGTTACAGGACATCCTCGTACACTTATACAAACAATTTCCAAACTGTATTACCCTTATATCAAGGTGTACAGTAGTTAGTTCTTTACCTCTTTAACAAACAATATCTTTGTTACTGTGTTATATTGAATGTTACCATTCTTCCACGATAACAAGTAAATTTCAATGAGTTTTTTGTACACTAGAATATAGGAGGAGGGTGTTTTTTAACTTGTATATAACGTCCATTCTCTTAAATCTAGCTACAAAAATTAAATTTGGACCTGGCTTACAGGGGGTGTGTTAACTTTGTGTGTTATTTTCCTTTGTGTTCTTCGTTTACTACACGTCTTTACTTTCGATCTATGTGTCCTTGAGACAATTCTGCACAAACATAATCTATAATTCCACATAATCGATTGTCACTGCAACGACGGGTATAGGCAACAAACAAGGGGTGTTTTTTTACAAAAGGGGAGGAGGAAATAAGACGTTTTTAGAGCCAAAATTTGTTGTAAGACGTCTGGGAGACGGTCCAGATGAAAATTGGGTCAGTCGCTCTAACACTTATGACCTTATCCTTATCCAAAAATAGAAGAAAGAAAAAAAAAAGCCCACCCTCCCGCATTCAAAGATGGGAATATCTCTCTCTCTCTCTCTCTCTCTTCATTAACTATATAAAATTCATCGTTAAGAATAAAGGAGAGTAAAGAGGGTTGATAAGGATCTTATCTCCCAGTTTAGTTCACATTGTCGGTAATCAGTCACACTCCTCTTTATCTTACCCTCCGACGCCATTCGGACGTAATATCAGGTGAACGTCCCCTCCCTTTTTCCGCTTCTTCTTCCCCTTCGGGCTTACAGTAGACTGTCCTTGTCACGTGGTGTAGTGTCGACTGGTGTGTGTGTGTGTGTGTGTGGTAGTGTTCTAGTTGTAGAACCGAGAGTCGCTGCAACTCGTCTCCTCGACAGTAGGTTTAAATAAGATGTGATTCGGAGGGATAATATTAACGAAATGTACTAGAATTCGTAAGTAAAATACGTTATATCTAACTAACTTTAAGTATATAATAGAAAAGGAAACAATACTTTCAACCCTCCCCACCTCTTAGTAAAAGTTTCCGGCGGGACATTTCTCCTTGCTCGTTTACTTCCTTTAGATATTGTAAGTTATCCCGATACACAGGTAAAAGAAAAAGTATGAAGGGGGGATTGTCGATTGTTACAAGTATTTCTTCCGGCTTCCCACAAAGGAGATTTGAAGATTATATTATCCCACGACTCCCTTTCATATTTAGAGATTATGTAGGATTATATAAACCCAGTAAATCATTCGATTAAATTCGTATAGTTCTCAGTTGTTAACCTCGGTTTTCTTCTATACCCCCTTGTTTAGTTTACCCTATTTTTGGCATAATATTTACACTAGAAATGTACTGTTTTATCTCATTAATAGGGGTGTATTAAATCCCTTTTTGTATGCCATCTGTTCGAGGTTTTTCCCCTGGTTTTATTAAGGACACGACACACTTGCAAGTATGCAAATGAAGTTCTTGTGTAGTTTCTTGTGTAAAGATTCGAAAGTAAACTTTATTCCTATCACGATAACATTACGAAAGACAATATTAGAGATTTTAATGGACCACATCGTTCGTTTTTCGTGTAGCAGATTGGCTTGATTGAATGTTAGTCACCATTATTATTGACAGGACAATGGAATTGTCCCTTTGTTATCATCTAAACCACACAGGAAACGTTGAATTTATTATATTGGAAATATATATATATAAATGGAGAATTATAATGGTTCCTAAACACAAGAGTTTGTGATCTTGCAACACCTGGTGTGTTACTACTATATACGATTAAAAATCGTGATAATCTACACCTGTGTTCTAACGTGGCACGGTGTTTTTCCCCTCTAAAAAAAATGTTCTTTTATGGGTGTAGAAAAGTATGCAGCAGGTGGGGCAGAGAGAATCTTGTTAAGTGTTGGCACAATATCAAAAGTTCCTTTTTGGTATCAAAGATTTAATATTGTAAAGCTTCATACCCAATCTTCTACATTGTCTTAACGTGTGGACAATTGTCTAACACGTAGAACAAAGAAACTTTCGTGACAGTGTATAAAGTAATAAGCATTATATATATATAGTGTTAAAGCTTTATTTTTCTCTCTTTAACTACAACACTCGTTTATCATTTAGTTTGGCTTCAAGACCACAGCTTTACTTGTCTAAATCCAGCTGTTTGGTACGTGTCAATTGTGAAGCATGTGTGACAAAACCTTCGTTAGAATTACAAAAAGAAACCACACTTCGAACATTCCCAACCGAGCAATAAACTGAAATACGAGATAGATTCGATACCCCCTTTTTTTTTCTTGTGTTAAATGCAAAACTCTTGTATGCCAATGTCCGTTACTCCCCTGTCTGTGTTTTTTAAAAAAAAAAAGGCAAAACAGATTAAGTTACATCAACGTTGGGGAGAATAATTTGCGTGCAAGCTTATGCCTCGTGTGTGTGTGTGTGTGCTTGAAAGAGTTCAAGCTGAACAGACTTAAGGTTTTATTTATAGGAACATTTCTGACTTCTATCCCTCCCTCTGGCATGGTTCCAATGTCTGATGAACATATCCAAGGCTGATTTAGCAGTTGTAAGGAATTGGTTGCTGTGTTTTTTTTTAAAAATAAAAAAGTGTGAGATAGTAACACCATTTATCATTGTTAATTGTTTATTAAAATGAAATAAACTAAAGGTTTTAATAAGGAGGGAACGGCGTTAGGATGCTGGGGGTGTGTGTTTTTCCCCCCTGTGAGAATGACACTTGACTCGAAACATCTGTCTTCTCCTCTCTATACGACGGTGCATTGAACTTGTTAATGATCTGTGCCCACTCTTTATATATGTATTTTTTTTCCTACGAAATGTTCAATTCTGACATATGTAACGCTCTGTTGGCTCCGTAGTCTTTATCGCATCGTAAATATCTCTTATACATTGTTTTCTATCTCTAGATAACTGTCGACGGATAAATTCCAGTTAGGCTTTTGAAGAAGTCGAAGGAGACTTTACGAATTTACAAGGTTATTCTTCCCCCTCCTCCCCATCTGGTTCCTCTCCATCCAGGTAGCTGCTTGGAAGCGACACGAGAATTCCATTAAGTTTCGACAGACGTGATGCTCTTGAGGGACCGTTAGTGTGAACACGATAGCGTTTTGTTAGAAGGGAAAGAAAGAAAGAGAAAAGAGGGTGTTGATCTGTGTGTTACGTAAATCCAGTTCAACAATATCAATAGAACTTATTAGCATTTTGTTCTCCCCCCTTTTTCTGACATTCTGATGTGATTCATTCATAAATTTATTACACTAGATCCGTTACATTTCCAGTTCTTCATTGGAAATAATGAGTAAAAGGGAATTTAATTATGAACACATTTTTCCTTCCTTATTCTGGTGTGATGCAAGACGTCTGTACGGAGTATGACGCCATCACATCACCCGTGACTTGTTTATAATATGGGTAAGGAAGATCGAAACAACACACGAAGGCCGGAAATTAAGGAGGTTGAAACCCTTACAAAATTCCCTCCGGTGGTAAAGAAAGGAGTGTTTTAAAAGGGTGTGGAGTGAAGAAAGAGTGAATTTTCTTCGCTTGCAGCTGGCCATTTATATACTACATTTCGTATCTCTATAGAAGAGAGGGTAAAAAAAAAAAAAAAAAAAACGTTTTTTTGTAATTTGTTCCTTACACGACCGTTAGTCATAATGGTATCCTTCAAACCTGCTGCACTCGTGTGACGTAATAGGTTCTGACTCACCTCTTTTGTTGAGGTGCCTTTTGGCCTCACTTAAGCCCTCACTTCAGCTGCTATGGCTTGTTTATTGTGAGGTGCCGGAACGGATTTATCAACAACTATCAAGTGTATTCGAATATATATATAAAAAAAACACCTCAATTTTCCAGCCCACACATGCGTTAAGATCGGGTCATTAGCGGTTGAAGGATACTAATTGCTTAAGCTCTTTCACACGCTATATTAAATTCTGATACGGGGGTGTTCGCGAGTTAGAAACGAACCGTGCAAACGTTACTCAAAAGTTTAATTTTAGTACGTTCTCCTTTAATTAAATTCGTTCCGACTCAAAATAGAATGTCGCCATTGTCTCCCCTTGTCTTGTTTGCTCCCCCCTCTTTCTTTTCTAAGGTAACTAGACGGAAAAATTCATCACCTTAGTACTTTCTAGTATGCGACACAGTAAAAATCGACAAGAACATTCCACTTTCCTCCTCCCTAATATACGTTTTCTAACATTCCACCCCGTCCCCATGTAGGACCTCCCGAAAGAAGAGAGACTGGGGATGAACGAACTATGACACTGACACTGTCAACAGTACATACACACGCACACACAGTCGGTTGACGTCATTTCCAAAGAGACAATGCCGTCGTGGGGATAAATTAAGACGCGATACGGCCCTTCTCTGGTATTTTCGGTTAATTCCAGTCACGTGAATAGGCGAGAATGCCATCCGGGGTAGAGGAACAACACCAGCCTTGACCCAGTCTATAGAACTTGGGAGAAGAGGAGGAAAAAAAAAAAAGAAAAAAGTCCTATTCACTCTTGAGAAGTCGGCTAAACACAGGCGGATAAAGTTGCCTAAATGGGGGAGAAATAACAAAAAAAAAAAAATGAAGGTCTTTTCCTGTCTAGTTTTAATGTTTTAATAACTTTAAATCCATTCGATTTTAAACTAGTAGGGGTGAAGATTTTTAGTGTTGATTCACCACTGTGTGATGTGGGTAATCCGATTCGACTTAGAATATTTAATACAGATAACTTTGCACTCGTTTAAAAACTATTTTAGATAGAAGATAGAACAATGTCCCTACTGTTAGAATAACGCTATCAGAAGCACTTTCGACTGAAACCAAGGTTGATTTTCGTGCTACAGATGGGAGCAAGATCGTGAGTAAACAGGAAGTCTACCTTATTATCTTAGATATATATCAAGTATTTTTATATATATATATATATATATATATTTTCTTAAACGTATCGAGTGATATATGGATTGGAAACAGGCTAAAAACACTATAAATCCCCCCACTTGTACTAGAGAAAATTAAAAGTTAAGCAAATTTTTTGACCATCTGGAAACTTTAAAGGAATTTTCTCACATTTACTTTCTAGGAAAATAACTAAATTTAACCGACTTTTTCCCGTTTGTTTTAACAATATGATGTTTTGTTATGATTCTTTTTAAGAGATTTCTAAATTGTTTTTCGTCTCTTTTCGTTAATTATATACGAAGATCTGTATTCTATTTTCTCCTCTTTATGAACATTTCATCGATTCCCCTCTACATTTTAATTCTACAATAGGCTAAGATAAGCACGTATCTAACAATCTAAACACGTATATAACGTTCTAAAACTTATATAAATGTCACAAAATGTAAATTTCTATACTAAAATAACTTGTTTTCTATGTTTAGAAACATCTCTCTACGCCCTTATTATTAAATCGTGGTTTAAATTGCTATATATTTTAGTATGGGGTATTGTTTGCTAGTATATTTTGTATTGTAATAGAGGAAAATTGTGTATAAATTCTGTTAAAGTGTATAGAAGAATTCTTTTTTCGTAAGTAACCACGATGAAAGAGAAAGTGGGTCAAGGACAGTTGTCTTTTTTAGTCTCTCTTTCTCTCTCACACAAGCTCCTCAGAGACTGGACACAAGAATATCTAATTTTCTTCTATATAAATAACAATATAAATCAAATTTCTCTCTACTTTAGTCGATTCTATCCATTTCTTAATTTAACTCTTACAATAATAAACCAATGAGTCAGTAGTTTAAACAGTCTTTTAACCTCATTCACCTAGCCATGTGTGTGTGTGTGTACAGTACCTGTGTTTGACATTCCTTCCTGTTATAATTCATGGATTTGGATTTACATTTACCCCCACCCCCTCGACGAAGGGAACGGGAGCTTTCTTTTCAAGATTGTAACCGCAAATAACCATTTTCGGGGGGTTTCCTTTCGCTTGATAAATGATCCAAGTAGGGAATTGGCTTTAGCTCTGGGATCCCTCAACACCTTTAAAAACCCTATTTATGTGAGGGTGAAGTAATAGTTTATAGGTCTTTTTTGCCTGCAGGAAATTGGAAACTTTCGGAATTTCTTTAAAGAGGAAGCTTTGGAAAAAAAGAAATGTAGGAAATCCGGTGTGGAATTGGTCTAAGAGTTCGTTCCTTTATTGCGAACGTTACTTATTCTTTACCACTTGAAATAACTTCAATAGACGTTTCCTCGATTTAATACTAATACAATTCCGAAAATTTAAACTATTCCTGAATATATATAGATATTTAATTAGGAGAAATTCAAGAGGAAATCTCTTCTAATGCTTAATTATCCACCCCTTTTTCTGTATTATTAACGTTCCACTTTAGAAGAAAATAACACAAGAAAAAAAGAAGAAAAGGGCCAGTTGGCGCCGTCCTCTTTACACAGAAATTAGGTCGAATCAGTAAAAGTGAAAAATGATTATAGAAATATAACAATCTTTACTGTTTTTTCCACCATTTTTATGTATTAAAAAGATAAGATTAAGTGCCTTTACTGTTAATTTCCAAGTTTACAACACGGTACTTTATGGCACCGATCGTAAAGATAATCATGTAGGAGGGAGGGAGGATAAGACCTTAAACGTGGTTCCCGATAAGAGATTTCGATACAAATTCGCTTAAATAACGTTAACCTAATTGATGCCATCTTCCTATATACGGTCAAAAGTGAGAAGAAGTTGTATAACAAGGGAAACGCCTACATTGTTACCGTTTACACACCCACTACAGTTTTAAGAATGGGGGAGGAGGGACTTATATAGTGCATAATATCACGTTTCCTCCACTAAATTTTTGCTATTTTCTTTATTTTTCAGATACAGTACAACACGTTCTTTGACTAAAAAAAACATGTCGTCGTCGTCGCCGTCGACGAGTTGTGGAACCAGTACGATGAAGAAACTGTGGACTGCTTTGCTATTTGGACTTTTCTTTGTTACGTGTAGTTGTAACAAAGAAGAAATTAGCGACATTCACAACTATCTTCAAGACTTAAATGGTAAAGAATCTTCTGCCAATCAGCAAGTTTTAGTCGGTGTCAGGAGGTTATGGGGGATACCGGATACCACAGCATCCGTTGGAAGGTTATTTAATTACGTTATCCCCGAAGATGCTTTTTCTGGTTTAGTAGAACGATACGTTGTAAGTATATATATATATAAACCAATTAGAAAAATAAAGCTTTAATTTATAGGTTGAGATTAAAAAAATAAAATCTGCTGCTGCTGCTGCTGTAAGAGAGTAAAAATAGAACACCAGTCAATAATTTTGTAAGGGTAGAAAGGATTTGAGAATGTCAATTATCGTGTCGCATTCTTCCCGTTTCTCATTCTATAATGTGTAATATGTCTGAGTAATGGAATGTTTTCGAGTATGTTAACAGCACGATTTACTTGTTGACATCGAAACCACACGGTACTTATCGATTTTTCTCAAAAAAATGGCTAGTAAACTGTATTCTTTTCGGTTAAAACTGTGTTTAACACGCTCGAAAACGTAACGGCACGGTTAAGCACTCGCTCCAAATCCCAAATAAATTGCTAGATTAACCCACCAGTAACCCCGGAATATTTTGTAGCTAGGGGAGTGATAATTTTTTAACTATTCTTCTGTTTAAAAAAAAAGTCTTTTAGTGTGTGTCGGTAGAACTGAAATAGGAGCTAGTGGTTTGGCTTCTTGCATCAATATATCACCTCCGCAATGTCTTTATCGCATCGTCATGCAGACAGACGTGACACAGCAACGTCGACCCTTAATGGATGACGTGTTTTCTCGTGTTAAAGGTCAGCATCAGGTGGGGGAAGAAGAAGAGCGGGTGGTTTATCAGTTTCGGACTATAAACACGATGTTGTCCAACATTGCAAATCTAGTGACAAACGATAATCGTGGCAAATGTCAGCTGTCCAGTCCGGTGGAAAGACAAATGCTGTCGTACCGCTCGTAAAACTCTTGCTGGACACATTCGGATTATCGGAGCGTACGGTTAAGAGATTCTGTGGCCCGTTTTACTCTGTATTTTTTTTTTTTTTCCTCACCCTCCCTTCGACCTGTTTGAAAATTTATAGTTTCATTCCCAACGGAAGACGTCTACGAAAATCGCTGTCAAAGTGTAAAAAGCCAAGCTGGTGAGGAGAGAGAGAGGAAGGAAGGACTGTTTATTTTCGTCTGTACGTGGGAGTTCTACAACTTCAAATGCTCTGTTCAGTCAATGCCATTTGTTGTTTTATTAATCTATTATCTAATTTTTTTTTTTATATTAATCAGCGGATTTGAATACTTTACACAAGAATTCTTTCATCTTAAGGCTCGTAAAAAGAATATTTTTTTCCAAATTTCTTCTCGGATAGCCTTTTATAACTTATCTAAATCTATCAATGAGACAATTAGTCAAGTGGGATGTTATTCCTCCTTCGAAAGCATGAGTTAACTTCCGCCTGCAAAGCGGGAGACTAAATTCTGAGGTCAATGTCCTGTCTTCACTTAATGTTCATCCAGCTGAACGATAAAATCACAGAAAAATAATTTCTCTTAATATATTTTAAGAAGGAGAAAGAGAGAGAGAGGGGGGGGGAAAAGAAAAAACAACAAATCCTCATTGCTAATAGAATTTCCTAAATGGCATTAAAACTCTTAGTAGAGGAGGATTTACGATAATGTTTCCGTAATAAACTATAAATTTTCTATATATTTACATCGTAAATGATTGTATTTTCTTAAGAAATCGATATAATTTATTATATTTTATAATGTAAGTAATAAGATTAGAAAAAGAAATGTTTACGCGATATCGCTTCGTCTAGTTGTAATGGAGACGTCGCGACCAATCGCTATGTATTATCAATTATTTCGATATATATTTAGTTAAGATAATAATATTTTTCTGTATCAGATGATTATAAGGTTCATTCCCAATAAGGAAATCCGATTAAGATGTTGTTATTAATCGTTTCCTTTTGTGTGTCGCGTGGCGGAAACACGAAATTTTCGTGTGAGAAAATTTTTTCCATGATGTATATCTTTTCCTATTCCCTAGCACGTAATGTCCAGTTAAAGTAGAAATGAGTCAGCTTATCCGCTTTAGTGAGTCACTGTGGGGTAACGATGAGAGAGAGGGGGGTGGTGTCTGTACTGTACTGTACTGTACATCAGCTGTCATCCCCAAACCTTCTGCCACTATTAGAAAACATACCCTATCCAGTTGCTAGTTACATTTCCCACGTATGCAGAAAGTTGTAGGGCCAGAAAGAAAGCAGATTTTTACTTGGACTGTGTATTCTGTTCTCACGTACTAATGGTTTATTACATAGACAGACGTAGAGAGGGGTTGGGCATTATCACCGAGTCGCAGCTGGTCTGTGTCAACGGCGAAATACTATCATGACATTTTTGACAGTTATATCCGGGAATTTCTCTCTTACTTACGTCTAACTATGGCTCACCCACATTGCCATCTATAGGAGAAAAGTATAAGTTTAGTTAGTGTTTAGAAAACTGGCAATACACTTGTATTTTGAATACGACAAACAAAAGCAATGAGTTTCCTCATTGGCATTTGAGTACATCTTTACATATGACATACCAAATTAAAACGTTTTATACATATAAATCCATAAAAGACGTGAAGATATTTAAATGTATAATTTGTTTCGGTTGGTTTGTATCAAACGTCAACCTTAAGGAGAACCTTGACCATGACTTAAAAAAGAAATAACTTTCTTAATAAGTTTAATGCTGTAAAAATGACATCTTTAATCTATCAAATACACTGACTCACTGACTGTAATTCACTGTCAGATGCAGCTGTTATTGTAATTTATTTTCGATATGCGTATTGTTTTTTCTATAAAAAGAAATTTATATTCTTTCAGGTGACAGAGGCAGGAGAACAAATCCTACCTAGTTGGCTTTATTTTGAAGAGGAAACACGCACATTCCGAGGTGTACCTACCGAACAAGACATCGGGCACGCTTATATTAGCGTGAAAGCAGTAGCAAAGAGTACAGAAGGTATTTATTTTTCGTTCTGTTTCTATCTGTATCGTCTAAAATATTGATAGAATCTCCTCTTTTTTTTTTACAGATGATCCACTTATCGCCAAAGATGTTTTCTCAATCGAAATAGTAGATGATTCCTTCCAATATACTAATCGTGAAAAAGAAAAATGTCCATCTCCCTCAAGTCGCACAGTTCTTACTGTTATTGCAGATGCCAATATGGCCGATCTTCCTCCCTACAGAAGATACGACTTAATCACTAAAATGGCCTCAATCATAAAACTCGAAACACGTGATATAAAACTGGTCACGTTAGGTGGAGAGAAAGCATTCGATGAACAAGCTATAGTAGCTGGACCAGGAAATATTCATAGCAGAGACGGAGCTGGAGTAATTCTTAAATGGATCGTCGGTTGCGAAGGAAACATTAAAGATACGGAAAGTGTTAATTTGGTAGAAAAATTAGCGAAAAATGGAGAATTAGCATCTCAATTGGGACTTCCCATAGTTGGATGGCACGTTACAAATCAGCATCCAACAATACAAGTAAGAATGAAAAGACAAAACCATGTTTTATACGGTACTCCCGTGCCAGGAATTGTACCAACAATGTGGACATCGGAAACAATTGACGACATCGAACCAACAGAAGATTCCGTCATACCGGAATCTAGAGTCGTTCCTACAATGTCTTCCCCGATATATACTACTACCACGCATCGTCATCGTCATCATCACAGTGCTACGGATCGTGGACATCATCATCATATAGTGCCCAGTAGTCCTACATTTATGCTTCATTCTACTCCAATTGTTGTTCCTGTTGTTCCCACAGATTACGTTGAATCCAGCTTGTTTACTGAAGATATACTACAACCTTCTGTGTCCACACCTCATATTTACGTTCCAGAAACGACATCTCCTACTCCTTCCATGTCCGAGAGTGAAATCCAACCAACTAGAACTTATCCAGTAATTGAGCCGAGTACGATTCCAAATGCCAAACCTATGGTTGCGAATAAACTCAAAAAGATGACACTAATGGTTGGTAAACTATGGACATTTGTTATACCCGCTAATACCTTTAACGATTTCGAAGATGGTGATACGCGAAATCTCAAACTCATGTTCTTAACTTCCGAAAGGGAATCAATACCACAGAATTCCTGGATCCAATTTGATCCCGTAAAACAAGAACTATACGCTATACCACTCGAAGAACACATAAAAGTCCATCATTTCTACATAGAAGCAATGGACAGCGAAGGAAAATCAGCGTTTGAACGTGTTAATATAAGAGTTTTACCTCATCCAAAATATCAATTTACTCACATGTTCAAAATGACAATGAAGTATTATAAGTGGCAATATCCGGTCGGAATCGATTGGCAAATGGAAGTGATGAGAAGACTTGCGAGATTATATAAGGAACCGGATGATTCGTCAATTGTTGTGAGAATGGTTAATGTAGATCCATTAATATTTGGTTGGTCGAACGATACCTTAAGTGATGCAACTGATTGCCCACGAGAAGAAATTTTAAAACTTTATGACAAGTTAGCAACAGATTCTGGAGTTACAAGATCACTTAGAAAGATTATGAATGAGGAGTTTAAAGTTCAGGAAGTGGATATTGAATTTGAGGGCGTTTGCAAACCTCAAATCACTACCGAAGAACCGGAGGTTATAGAATCTCCAACTATTCGTAATCCGATAGACCATATAATCACATACGAAGGTGATGTTTTCCAGTATATAATTCCTTCAGATACTTTCTTTGATGACAAAGACGGTAGCACACGTAATTTGACATTGGAATTAAAAACGATAAACAATGCGGATCCGGATGATTCTTGGATTATGTTTGATCAACGTACTCAAATGATTCAAGCCATGCCAGATTCTCAACAAGTAAATAAATATGAATTTCAAATTAAAGCAACAGATACTGATGGAAATTATGTATCGGATGCATTTATATTCGAAGTTAAAATGCGTAAATCACAGAGATTTAGTGTAGATTTTAGTATTTATTTGGATGAAGATTATGAAGATTTTAATAAGAATATTGTTAAGAAAATGCTGGTTTCTCGAAAATTGGCTAGAATGTATGGTGATTCTGATACTAAATCAATGCGAATTCTTAAAATTAAAAAAGGATCTGTGGTATATTCATGGACTAATAGCACACTACCTAATAAATGTTCGTATGATATCATAACTCAATTAGTTAGGAAACTTATCAATAATGATAACACAGTAACGGAGGAACTTATCAGAGCACTTCAGCCAGAGTTTAAGATAACTAAAGTTAAGATTACACCCGGTCCGAAATGTATAGACTTAAATGAAGAAGAATCTCTAGAAGTTTCGTGGCCCACCATTACTACATTGGAGACTACATCTAAACCCGCAACGACTAGTGATGATGATATATATATCACTACAGTCATTCCTGCCGTGGTTATTGCTATCATGTTAATAATTGCTGCAATGGTAGCATGCTTTTTATATCGTAAGAAAAGAAAAGGTAAAATGACCATGCAAGATACAAGCGGTTTTATGAGTAAAGGTGTACCGATCATTTTCGCTGATGAAATCGAAGAGAAATCGGATCCAGCAAAACCACCGGTTATTATGAAAGACGAGAAACCACCATTATCTCAACCGACTTATCAAACGACCGGTAGTACGGAACCTACACCTCAAATCGAAAGGAGGGAACCACAGACTGATCCACCTTATCAGCCACCTCCACCCTTTACAACTTCTCGAGAAGCCAAAAACGGAAGACCAAAGGCAACACCAACGTACCGTCAACCACCTCCGTATTACGTTCCCCCTTAAAAAAAATGTAACCAATGAGCTTTTCCTATTGAAAGTAATTGTCTTGTGTGTGCCTTCGGTCTTAAAAAAAAAAAAAAAGTTTGTTCCTTTTTTTTTTAATCGTGATGCCTTATCGCTGTGTATGTTGCACTATGCAAATTTGTGGCTCTCTTCCCTAAAAGTACAAACGTGTGCTTACATCTGCAGGGATAAAGTAGACTTAAACTTTATATTCTGCCAATTTTTTCATGTTATACAGCATATTTTTGGGGGGGAGAAATGCTAGTGTTGACTTTAAAAACACACACTCTCTCTCTCTCTCTCTCTCTTTCTCTGTAGGGACAGAGTTAATTGGCCAATATTTTTTTTTTCGTTTTGTACAGACATCTTTCTTCTTTTTGAATAGTTTATCTTGTTTTAAAAGATGTTAAAAATANTGCATTAAAAAAAAAAATGAAAATTTATCATTTCTGTTTAAGGAACACGATCGCTTAATAAGCAATCCTCGGGATCATATTTAGTTAGTTAGTTGCAGCATATTTTTGGGGGGGAGAAATGCTAGTGTTGACTTTAAAAACACACACTCTCTCTCTCTCTCTCTCTCTTTCTCTGTAGGGACAGAGTTAATTGGCCAATATTTTTTTTTTTCGTTTTGTACAGACATCTTTCTTCTTTTTGAATAGTTTATCTTGTTTTAAAAGATGTTAAAAATACAACAAATTGAAGAAATAATATACCTTCAGGGGTGCAATTTACTTTTTTTTCCTTCCTTCCTTCCTATACACTTTTTTCTATTAAATAATAATAAAAGTTTTCCTCCGAGAATGGTCTGCGAAAAGTCAGTAGGCGATGGCTGCACAGAAGACCACTGTGACGTAATTTATTTTCCAGCGAATGAGAGCTGAAGTACCCTGTGACGTCACAATGCAGTTATATTCGCTCATTCACTCAATGTGGTGCTGAAGGGAACACACTTTATTCCCTTCTTAAAACTTACTAAGTCAAATTATGTATTCAAATGAAAAATAAAGAGATTAGTTCATTTTTTTTTCTTTCTTTTTTCCTGTATATTTGTCCAAATATAACATTTTATCTTGTATTATTACGAAATATAACTACAAAAATAATAATAATAATGTAGTATTAGTTCGTTTTAATTGTTTTTTTTTAAAGAATATAATTATTAAATTCAAATTTTTGAATTAAAGTACGTTTTCAAATTTATCCAATTAGATTGTTTAAAGTTTCTGACGTAAAAAATTATCATAATTTATTCGTTTAAATCGATAACCAATCATAGTCGTAACGTCAAAATACGTCACTAATCAATCAAAGTAAAGAATGAATTTAATTGGTTTTTGAATTATTACGAAAAAGAAATAAACGTAATTCATTGGATAAAACGGAAAAAACAATGTTTTTGTTTTTAAAACAGAATAATCGTCCTATTGGATAATTAATTTTTAAATATATATTTTTTTTCAATTAATTAAATTAAATGTTTTAAAATTAGTAGCTCTTATTTTAATTGGTTTTCGATAATTTTGATGATAATTAAGCAAGTAACTAATTAGATTTTTATGTGTTTGTTATTTTAACACGGACGTGACCTCATCACGGATAATTAAACTTTTTAAAATTCCTTTTGTTTTAATAAAAGTTTTATAATAAAAGTATTTCGATACGTAAATATAGAAAAATATGTACTAAATAAAACAAAGAAATTGCCTTTTTTTAAGTGAAATTATTAGTATAATGATGAATACAAAATCAAATGAACACATCAAATTTCCGTATTCGTAGGAAGAGGGACGTAAAAATTCTGGAAACGATCAATCATGTCACCGAAGAGATTTAAATGAATATGACGCTAAAGTTTTATTAACGCAAGAGTAGTATTTGTAAGTCCATTACATTAGTGCCAGTATGACCAGTTATAACTAAGTCATCTCCATTATTAATCGACCTATAAAAATTATACGAGTCATTATTTTCTAAATAAGACACCACCATTGTATTATCTACATTGGACATGCCGCGATATGCAATTGCACCGGCAGCCTCCGTGGATCCATCGATGCCATCAGTACCAGCACTTAAGAATATTATCTCTCTATCGAGCAGATAAGAGCTAGACGATGATGATGGTGATAATGATGATAAAGTTAAGAGAGCAGCCAACGCCATTTCCTGATTTCTTCCTCCTCTTCCGTTTCCTTTGAGTAGAACAACGGTTTCTCCTCCGCTTATTATGCAAATTCCGCTTTTAGTTGTTTTACATTTCTGTATTATTTCTTCGATCCTTTCGTTCGATAATAGCAAAACTCTTTGTAATTCTGACAAATCGTCTTTGGTGTAGTCGCCACCGCTTGCAAAGATTCCTAACTTTGCAAGTGCCGCTCCGACGTTTCTAGCGACTCCAGTAAGTTCAATATTCAATATTATCGGAGAATATCCAAGATTAATGGCTGCATTACCGGCTGCTTCGATTGATAATCGATTATTACCTATTAATACATTATCGACGTGATCGAAATCGAGTTTTGACTCTTCTCCATCGACGTCTTTTTTCAAGACTTTCAACACACTTGATGGAATTTTTTCCAATAGATCGTACTTCTGTAAAATTTTTAATGATAAATCCGGCGGATCTTTATTAATTACAGTTGGGGCACTGGCTATCAAGTCTATAGGATCGCCTACAATATCTGATAATATTAAAGATACGACCTGGAAAAAAATTAATTAAATTAAGCAAAAATTCGGGTTTTTTTTTCTTCTCCCCCCTAAAATTTGATACGTTATGATTAAAAAATTAGCTACTCTTTCCCAGGATTATTTTAATTACTTCCATAAATATTAGTCAGTGAATGAATCATATTTTAATGCATTAAAAAAAAATTGAAAATTTATCATTTCTGTTTAAGGAACACGATCGCTTAATAAGCAATCCTCGGGATCATATTTAGTTAGTTAGTTGGGGTTTTTTTCCATCTAGATGAGTCAAAGTTTATCTGTCATTCACTCCTTTACATTAAAACTATATAAAATAATTTTTTATCGTATAATAGGGCCTATATCTACAGATTTTGATAAAAGAAATTAAAAACCTTTGTAGGATATGCAAGTTTAGCGAGTCCTCCTCCTTTAACCAGCGATAATCTTTTCCGAATTGAATTAAGTTCTTGAATTGTTGCACCTTTAGATGTTAACTGTTTAATTAATGTTTGCTTTTCTTCTAACGTAACGGGTGGTAGAGGAGAAGGAAGCAAAGCCGAACCTCCTCCTGAAAGACAGGAAAGAATCATTAATTGTGTTATAATCTCTTGATTAAAAATTTTTTTTTTTTCCTGAACAGCGAGATTTGACGTACCGGATATCAGCACGATTAAAAGGTCTCTAGAGTCAAGACCAGATACTAAAGAAACAATATCGGTGGCTGCTTGCCAAGCAGACTCATCTGGTATATTGTCCTTGGCTCCTTCTAATAATCTTATCTTACCGTTTGGTCGTGGAAGCATTTTGCTAACAAGTTAATAAATAAGAAAAATTAATTGTTATTTTATTTTTTAATTAATACCAGTAGACTCCCCTATAACACTGTAGATAATTCCGTTTTATATGAATTCCGTGTTGTACGAGTCAGTTAGATTTTACAAATACGTCAGCCGTTCACAGCCCGACACACGTATTTGTAAAATCTAAGTGACTCGTACAACATGGAATTCATATAAAACGGAATTATCTACAGTGTTATAGGGGGTCTACTGTATATGTCTGTATATGTGTGTGTGTGTGTGTTCACGTAAAATATTTCACTCTTGAATTTTATTATGGTTTATCAGTCGGTTTATCAGTGTTTATATATTAAATTAACATAAACAAGATAACATTATCCAGACATAATAATTTTGTCTCTGTGTTAAGATCATATCGAAATATGATCATTTTTAAAAGAAATCTGTTTGTAATTATATTCGGTTTGTTATTTTACATATTTGTTTTTCTTATGTGGTATTTATTTCGGGAATTTTTTTTTGTTATTTTATTTTTATATAAATTATAAAAACTACCTTTGTTTTTAAAAAAAAAAAAAAAAAAAAAAAAAATTTTTTTTTTTTTTTTTTTTTTTTTTTTTTTTTTTTTATATTTTTTTTTATTTTAATTTTTTTTTGTTATTTTATTTTTTAATTAATACCATGTAACCAATGAGCTTTTCCTATTGAAAGTAATTGTCTTGTGTGTGCCTTCGGTCTTAAAAAAAAAAAAAAAGTTTGTTCCTTTTTTTTTTAATCGTGATGCCTTATCGCTGTGTATGTTGCACTATGCAAATTTGTGGCTCTCTTCCCTAAAAGTACAAACGTGTGCTTACATCTGCANAAAAAAAAATCTTAAAAAGCCAGATGGCCTCAAAGACGAGTTCAAATAGACAAGCTAGATCCTTAATTCTTTGATAAAACAAACAAAACTCTTATGTAACTCTTTTAAGTGGGGTTAAAGGTCAGAGTTCGTTTATACAATCCTTAATATAATTAATCCCTTTTGGGAGTATTTCTTACAGTTAGATTAACTATATGTGTGTAATTAAATATACAAATCTTACTTTTTACCCATATCTTCCATTAATTTTACGATTCCAATGGGTACGCTGATAATTCCTTTAACTAAATGATGTCCCAAAATATCTTCTATCGCTCTTGCCATACCCGAAACAGCTTTACCAAAACCGACGAGATAAACATTTTCATTAACATCGTAGCTTTTATCTCCAATTATTAATTTTCGATCTTCTGTTAACTTCAATATATTACTAATCAGCTGTTGCGGTAGGACTGCATCAACACCACGCTTGAATATGTTTATGGCATCAGTTTTCATGGCTAATATATCTGTCTTCATTCTTAAGTTATTTTGGTATTTCCTGAAGAAAACAGTTGTGACTTTCCTCCATATATTTCTGTTGTTTACATAAGATAGTCCTTTCGTATATATACACACACGCATATATATATATATAACGAAGTTGTAACTAGAAAAACAAAGAAAAAAATGAAAAATTATAGAAGGTTGTGTGTATATTGTTATCGATATACGCCTGTTATTTTGGTAAACAAGTGATCGTTAAGAGTCACTTGTTATTGCATCATAGACTAATTTGCTTCCAGCTGTTAAGTTGGCCTTGAATACACCTTCTTATATTTATTTTTGTGATCCCTGTTTTGTTAATAGATTTCACTCTCTAATGCTTTAACTTCGATCAACAGTTTTGTAGCAAAACTACTAGTATTTTGTATTATTTTCAATAGAAACAGGATACAAATTTTGTTTGTGTTTAGTCTACAACATTCTCCTTTCTTTCAAAACTTAACCAAAGTATAAAACAATTAAAAATTCTAAAGAATTAATTCTAAGAATAGAATTTAAAAAAAAAAAATAAGTATAAAGTTATACAACTATATTCCAGTTATTTTACTGTACTTTGGTCTTTGATTTTATACTTTAAAGAATAAAAATGGATCAAATTTCTTCTGATACTATTCATTTTTGTGAAAAAATTTAATATTTAAATATCATTATAAGCTCTTTTTACATCTAGTTAAATATTAAAGCACGGATGAGTACTGAAGAATCACAGATTCTGAAAAAAAAAAATAAGGGAAGGAAAAAAAAGACTTGTAGAACTCTCTACTGCCATCTATTGCGTGGCAATGCTAAAGTATTTACATTAAAAAAAGGGAAAAAAAACAGTTAAAATTCACCGTTTTCACGTCTAATTTCCAGAAAATTAATTTAAAAAACCTTTCAAATAAAAAAAAAACATGTCCAGGAATGCAAATAAAACGAAATTCATACAAGAATAACTTATTTAAGAGATAAGGCTTGTAGCTATTGTGATAAATAAAGTAGAAGAGAGCCTTTTTGATTCACTTGTTAGGTTACCTGTCAGCTGACTAACCAATTAAAAATGCACTGTTTTGAGTAAGGGTTTTAAGGTATAATCATCTAAAAAGTAAAGATTTATCTACAATTAAATCTTTCGTGTTAATTTATAACCATGTATACTAAAAAAAAAAAATAATAATAATAACACTGTATAACCTAATTTGTAAAAATAATTTAAATCAATAAACAATTTGAATTATTTAAGCATTTAAAATAAAAAGAAATAATAATAATTTTTATTAAAAAAAATTAAAATATTTTCGAATCACCAAAAAAGAAAAACAAAAAAAAATTCAAATTTTTAAATTTAAAAACACAAAAAACGTATATAACAGAAATCGACCAATAGGAGACGGAGAAGGCGCGAGGGTTAAATTCGACCAATGGCGTTACGTCTTCTTCGTTTTAGAAAGATCAGCTCTAGCGATGCCAGACGATCGAAAGGAAAGAAATTACAAATGTCGGTCGATTACTTTATATAATTAAATATTATAAAATTATAATATTTCATATATATAAATAACACATAATTTCTTGATAAATAAGACACGTAATGAAGTTAGTCGATCACGTCGTACAGAGTTTCCGCGTGGCTAAAGTATTCCGTGAGAACACCGATCGCATCAACAGCATCGACTTCTCTCCTAATGGCGATACGCTCATATCAAGTAGCGACGACGACTCTATTGTCATTTACGACTGCGAAAAAGGAACGTAAGTTTTGTCTTTCTTAAAGAAAAAAAAATAAAGAGAAAAATAATAAATAAATAAATAAATAAAAAGAGAAAGCCTTCACCTTTTTCAAGATGGCGCCCGCTATGACAAATGCCTTGTCACATGACGTTAATAAAAATTTTTAATTTTGATCTTATCTGGCGTTAGATAATTAAATATTTATAATATAATAACGAAATAATAATGTCGTATCATCGATTTGTATAAAGTGCGATCGGATATAAACGAAAGTTCGATAGTTTTATATGGAGACAAGATGGCGCCCGCGCGTGACAAGAGAACGTTTCAAAGCAGACGACTTTTTTTTTTTTTTTGTGTGTGTTAAAATATTCAAAAATTATTAAATAAATACGTAATTATTAATATAATTCAGACGAATTTGAATAAAAAATGATTTAAATTGTAATAAATCTATCTATATATATTTTTTCTATTTATAATTGATAAACACGTGTATAGAAATTGATTATTTTTCTAATTTTCTAATCAATTTCACATTTTATATTACATTTCATATTACAGTAAACACGATGAGTGTTTATTATAAACTGATAAACATTTTTTCTTTTTTTAATTATTTATGAGTTACAATACAAGTCTGGATTACTAAATATTTTAAATTTGAATTTAGTACAAGTCGACCCCCCTATAACACTGTTGATAATATCGTTTTATATGAATTCCATGTTGTACGAGTCACTTAGATTTTACAAATACTTGTGCCGGGCTGTGAACGGTTCACATATTTGTAAAATCTAAGTGACTCGTACAACATGGAATTCATATAAAACAGAATTATCAACAGCGTTATAGGGGAGTCGACTGTATATGAAACATGTGTTTTATAAATACATTCACCTTGTAGAAGATATTTTTTTTTTACATTGGTAAAGTTTTCGGTGTCAGCTAGTGATTTGCTATGTTAGCGTCCTTAAGTCCGGCGGATCTTGCCAATTTTTTAAAACTACACGAAGTGTTTTTTTTGTGTATAAACATGATTGTAGTATTCCGTTAAAAAATATGAATTAAGTAGGAAGTTTGTATGTTGTCCTCGAGGGGTTATTTATTTATTTTTTCTCTATGTTGTTTGTCGGAAGTTATTAGCATGCAAAAATGGGAAAAAACTGTTTCGATAGACTTGGACTAATGATTTTTGTTCGGTTAATTCTACGTATTTATTTTTTAAGTGACATACTTTTAAATTTAGTGGATTTTAAATTGATTATTTTATTTCAGGTTTTGTTTTGAAAATATATTATGTATATAAAATATAATTAGATCTATCACTTAGCCTATTACACTTCATAAGCTAAAACCTTATCATCAATTATTTCATTTACTATTAAAGTAATATATTTTTTTCTAGAATTATTCAAGCAAACAGTTTAAGCACTAGATATATTAATTCAAAAAGAATAAATGAAAGGAAAAAAATATTTATTAATATCTTTAATTAATTAAGGAAAAGATTAAACTAATAAATCTTTTAAGAGATTTTTCAATATTATTATTATTAAATTTTGAACTCGTGAATTAACAGAATTACATCAAAATTTAAATATATTTATTAATAGTCTTGTATCCATTGTAATTCAATATCAGGCTTTATATCAGTTTCATTTATCTCAAATATACGTGATTAATAATTTAAGTATTTAACGTAATTATCAAATTTTATCAAAAAATAGAGGTTTAATTATTAATTAATTAAGTCAAATTAATTTAGCGTCATATTTAAATGAAAGTGTTTATGTTATATTAAAGTTTTTATTTTATTTTATTTTATTTTTTTTATTATAAACAGCCATAAAAGAACTTTAAATTCCAAGAAATATGGAGTTGATTTGATCCATTATACTCATGCTACAAATACAGCAATACATAGTTCAACAAAAGTAGACGGTAAGTAAAATATTTTAAATTGGATATAATTAATTCTTAGAACTGTGATGACAAATTAGTAGGGCAACGTCCTTATATATTGATGTGGGATTGAATTCCTGTTAAAATACGCATTTATTATTCTGTTATGACAAAATATTAAATTGTAATTAAAAGAAATTATTATTTATAAAATATAGGAAGTGGTTTTCAGTTGCATGGTTATTGCTATTAAGTGAAAATGTTTATGAAAATATAGATGTTAGAGTAGTGTTGTATTGTATCGAATTTTTGCATATCATACTTTATATTGAGTTTACTATTATTTTAGGCCTATTTAATTTTAGAATACAATTTAAAAATATGTACAGGTATTTTAAATAAAACTGAATATTTAATATTTTAACAAACTAAAATATAAAGTTTACAAAGCTTAAAAGTGCCTAATTACTTTTATATGATTTAGTTTCAATTATAAGTTTAGTTTGAATTATATTAAATATTTAATGTATAACTAATTAACTATTGTGCATATTATTTTACAGATACAATTGGTTAGAAAAATTAAAATATAAAATTCTAATTTATTAATTAAGTTATGTAATTTTTCTGAATTATTTTGTTAAAAGTTTATTCAATTTTTTAAAGTTTACATTGTCTTTTTAATATAATTTTTAATCTATATGAAAAGTCATTATATAAGCAGTATAGCACTTTTACTGTGGTGTTTTTTTGGGTCCANGTGTATAGAAATTGATTATTTTTCTAATTTTCTAATCAATTTCACATTTTATATTACATTTCATATTACAGTAAACACGATGAGTGTTTATTATAAACTGATAAACATTTTTTTTTTTTTTTAATTATTTATGAGTTACAATACAAGTCTGGATTACTAAATATTTTAAATTTGAATTTAGTACAAGTCGACCCCCCTATAACACTGTTGATAATATCGTTTTATATGAATTCCATGTTGTACGAGTCACTTAGATTTTACAAATACTTGTGCCGGGCTGTGAACGGTTCACATATTTGTAAAATCTAAGTGACTCGTACAACATGGAATTCATATAAAACAGAATTATCAACAGCGTTATAGGGGAGTCGACTGTATATGAAACATGTGTTTTATAAATACATTCACCTTGTAGAAGATATTTTTTTTTTACATTGGTAAAGTTTTCGGTGTCAGCTAGTGATTTGCTATGTTAGCGTCCTTAAGTCCGGCGGATCTTGCCAATTTTTTAAAACTACACGAAGTGTTTTTTTTGTGTATAAACATGATTGTAGTATTCCGTTAAAAAATATGAATTAAGTAGGAAGTTTGTATGTTGTCCTCGAGGGGTTATTTATTTATTTTTTCTCTATGTTGTTTGTCGGAAGTTATTAGCATGCAAAAATGGGAAAAAACTGTTTCGATAGACTTGGACGAATGATTTTTGTTTGGTTAATTCTACGTATTTATTTTTTAAGTGACATACTTTTAAATTTAGTGGATTTTAAATTGATTATTTTATTTCAGGTTTTGTTTTGAAAATATATTATGTATATAAAATATAATTAGATCTATCACTTAGCCTATTACACTTCATAAGCTAAAACCTTATCATCAATTATTTCATTTACTATTAAAGTAATATATTTTTTTCTAGAATTATTCAAGCAAACAGTTTAAGCACTAGATATATTAATTCAAAAAGAATAAATGAAAGGAAAAAAATATTTATTAATATCTTTAATTAATTAAGGAAAAGATTAAACTAATAAATCTTTTAAGAGATTTTTCAATATTATTATTATTAAATTTTGAACTCGTGAATTAACAGAATTACATCAAAATTTAAATATATTTATTAATAGTCTTGTATCCATTGTAATTCAATATCAGGCTTTATATCAGTTTCATTTATCTCAAATATACGTGATTAATAATTTAAGTATTTAACGTAATTATCAAATTTTATCAAAAAATAGAGGTTTAATTATTAATTAATTAAGTCAAATTAATTTAGCGTCATATTTAAATGAAAGTGTTTATGTTATATTAAAGTTTTTATTTTATTTTATTTTATTTTTTTTATTATAAACAGCCATAAAAGAACTTTAAATTCCAAGAAATATGGAGTTGATTTGATCCATTATACTCATGCTACAAATACAGCAATACATAGTTCAACAAAAGTAGACGGTAAGTAAAATATTTTAAATTGGATATAATTAATTCTTAGAACTGTGATGACAAATTAGTAGGGCAACGTCCTTATATATTGATGTGGGATTGAATTCCTGTTAAAATACGCATTTATTATTCTGTTATGACAAAATATTAAATTGTAATTAAAAGAAATTATTATTTATAAAATATAGGAAGTGGTTTTCAGTTGCATGGTTATTGCTATTAAGTGAAAATGTTTATGAAAATATAGACGTTAGAGTAGTGTTGTATTGTATCGAATTTTTGCATATCATACTTTATATTGAGTTTACTATTATTTTAGGCCTATTTAATTTTAGAATACAATTTAAAAATATGTACAGGTATTTTAAATAAAACTGAATATTTAATATTTTAACAAACTAAAATATAAAGTTTACAAAGCTTAAAAGTGCCTAATTACTTTTATATGATTTAGTTTCAATTATAAGTTTAGTTTGAATTATATTAAATATTTAATGTATAACTAATTAACTATTGTGCATATTATTTTACAGATACAATTGGTTAGAAAAATTAAAATATAAAATTCTAATTTATTAATTAAGTTATGTAATTTTTCTGAATTATTTTGTTAAAAGTTTATTCAATTTTTTAAAGTTTACATTGTCTTTTTAATATAATTTTTAATCTATATGAAAAGTCATTATATAAGCAGTATAGCACTTTTACTGTGGTGTTTTTTTGGGTCCATAATTAATATAGAGAGTAATAAATTGAATATTAATCTTAACATTGTAATAACTGTTTAAAATAAGGTAACTGTACCAGTAATTGACAGTTTTAGGGTAACTGTTTTAGGATTGATATGTTGAGAAACATGTAGATGTGATAATCAGAATTTTAACAAAAAATCGATCGTCGATGCCGTCATAATTGTTTAATAATTGTTGTCATCTACTACCTGAGAGAATCTCGACTTACACTTTCTCGATGGCAAAAACAACACATTCCTTTAACCTGCTGACCTCTTAGCCGGGCGATATCGTGCTTATAGCATAATTAATGGCTGTAGAGTCAATCATCATTTAGTCCTTCCCAAGGAAAGAAGTTGCCACCCGGTTCCCAGTCGTCATCAGTGCCTCTAATGTGTTAGTCAGTTCAGGACCTCCTATATCAGCTTTACGGATACCTTGCCCACTAACGGATATCGCCAAATCTTCATCACTAGATATCACCTATTTCCAAACTGTTCCAATCATCTGTATGACACTCTATGTCTGTCTGTATGACAACCCTATTACTGAAGATAAACTTTGGTAGTTGGAACCCAACAAGTGATTCTCTCTCTCTCTCTCTCTCTCTCTCTCTCTCTCGCCACTCCTCCATTAAATAGGTCGGTTAATTAATCTGACATTATGATATGTATCTTGTAACTATTTTTTGTAATTATTAAACGGTTATTTGTTATTAACCCTAGAGTCTGAGTGCAGTAATTCTATTGCACTGTCTCTCAATCCGTCTCCATCCCGAATCCGATCACTCACGCATGTGGCAGCATGCGTGACCTATGTTGAACCCAAATCAACACACCATCTTGGTTTTCATGTCCAACGAGACACAGTAGTGTCAGTCCTGACGGTGCCTACGCTCCGGTCACATAAATATATAAACTTTTCTTCGTACAAAAACATGTATACTCAGTATTGAAATGTGAACTTTTATTTTATTGATAATTATTTTCAAAATTATTAAAAAAACAAATATTTTATGCTACTTGTTTACAAAATTCCAGTCATTTCCATGTACAATTAAAATATAACTTATAGTTTAAATGAAATGCAAATATAATTAAAAACTAATTTGAAGGGTCCAATTTAAAAATCCCTAAGTACATTTTTATAATTTCTGCAATTACTACTTCGTCTTACATAATTTTTGATGATCATTTTACTTTGTGGTTTCTTGGCCAGAAAACAGTAAATCCTAGTCTACATTTAACAATTTTGTGTTTATGGTTATAATTTTTATTTCAAGAAATCACTAAGTACATGAAATCAAGCCACCTACTGATAAAAAAAAAAGATCAAATTTATTACTTTCATTGACAATATTATTTATAGTATGTACCTGAATATGAAAAACAGTTTTACAGTGTACAAGAAACATCTGATGACAAATCATTCATATTAAAATGTAATGACAATAATATAGATTTTTATTCTTAAAACCATTGTATGTATATTAGCTGTATACTGTAATAAATAAGGTTAAAATTATTGTTCTATATGAGTTTTCGAGGTAGCATCGGTCTACAATGCTTCAGATAATTGGGGTTGTACTGTAATTGTAATGATTGTTAACACTCACAAGTATCTGTATGTGTGAAAAATGTACATGTAACAAATTTTCTTTGTTATTTTCATTTATTAAAACAACAGAATATAAAATTAAGTGCACTTAAAATACAGGACAGAGATACATCCTATAAGTTTTATCTTTTCTGATGTAAAATCACAATGGAATTATTTTTGGAAGTGTTTAAGATCCATAACCTCAATTATCTTTATAACAGGAAAATGTGAGTTAGTCAATTTTTAAATTGGGTCCTTCAATTTGTAATGTTTTTCCTTGAAAGATTTTTTTTTTTCTAAAATACAGTAGTACAAGTTTGATTAATTCATTCTCAACTGTAATATATTTCACCAGCTAATTGATATATATCAAAATCTAATTAAAAAATAAAACCCTCAGTAGTTTCTCTCTGGAATAATTCTTACAATATGTATTTTTAATTTAATTCTGTAATAGTAGATGGTGCAGCTTTCATGTTCACTTGCTTATTTTAAAATTCTTTATTTTTAAGTGAATATAACTGGTACAGTTACCCTATCAAAAGATGTGTATTTAGAATAGAATAAGCTTTAAATCTTATGAAAATATCAAATTCATTCTCACATATAAAAATATATATATAAAGAAAAAATTAAGTATAGTAGAACCGTGATTATCTGACCCCATTTCGGATAAACAGATTTCTAGATTATCCGGAAATCCAATTTTCAACGCGCAAAGAAACATGTAATACCACAAAACACGTTTACGTTAATAATAGTACTATACATGTATTAACTACATTGAAAATAGTCTTATATCTTTGTTTGGCAATAATTCCACTTCATACATTCTAGAACATTTTGGCCTGTTTGGCTATACTGAGCTGGTAACATTAGGGAGTAAAAAAACATTGCATGAATATCCGAAACCCTGGAATACGATGGAGCATCATCTGGGATGTTTTGGTAAATTAAAAAATACATTAAAAAATTAAATACTGTTGTAGAGTTAAGTAAGCAATAGAATTAAAATATGCAGTTCATTTCAGTTAACCCAGTTTAGATAATTGGGATTTTACTGTGTGATATTTAAAAAAATATATATATAAAATATAATTTGCTGATATTTTAATGTGGCTTGATTAGTGATACAACTGAGTTAATAATGATTGATTGAAATAGAAGTAAAGGTCTACTCGATTCTATATTATTACTCTATTATAATATTATTTTAACATACTGAATTTAAATATTTAAAAATAATCTTTAATTATATATTTTCCAAATTAAAACAAATTGTTTTACATTTTATTGTTTGAAAAGCTATTGATTTATAACAAAAGTCAATATATTTAATATATATTTGTATTGTACTTTATATCGTAAATATCATAACATAATTAGGCAGAATTTTTGTTAATAATCAATTGGGTAATATTTTTTACTTTATGTAATTGATCGTTTTGAAGTTGAATGTAACAAATACATTGTCTGGCATTATCAGCACTGCACAGTAATCAATAATATTATGACCATGATAACACCAGGTACTATATTTCTGAAACTTTCATACGTTAATTTGCAATTTCAAACTACATTTACTTTGTAATAGTGTTTTTTAAATATAGTACAGTCTTGGTAATTTGGATATTTACTAGTTTGACATGTCCAGTAATATGATACTAGTTGGCTCTTGGGTATTATTAGCATTTTCAAGTTGTAGATAAACTTCCCACTTGTTTAAACTCCAGTTCCCGCTAAACATTGTATGATATTGAGCCCTAACTTGAACTCTTAAGCTCAAGATTGTTAAGCTTGTCATCTTAGGCTTCTAAAAAAAAAATATATATATAAAGAAAAAATTAAGTATAGTAGAACCGTGATTATCTGACCCCATTTCGGATAAACAGATTTCTAGATTATCCGGAAATCCAATTTTCAACGCGCAAAGAAACATGTAATACCACAAAACACGTTTACGTTAATAATAGTACTATACATGTATTAACTACATTGAAAATAGTCTTATATCTTTGTTTGGCAATAATTCCACTTCATACATTCTAGAACATTTTGGCCTGTTTGGCTATACTGAGCTGGTAACATTAGGGAGTAAAAAAACATTGCATGAATATCCGAAACCCTGGAATACGATGGAGCATCATCTGGGATGTTTTGGTAAATTAAAAAATACATTAAAAAATTAAATACTGTTGTAGAGTTAAGTAAGCAATAGAATTAAAATATGCAGTTCATTTCAGTTAACCCAGTTTAGATAATTGGGATTTTACTGTGTGATATTTAAAAAAATATATATATAAAATATAATTTGCTGATATTTTAATGTGGCTTGATTAGTGATACAACTGAGTTAATAATGATTGATTGAAATAGAAGTAAAGGTCTACTCGATTCTATATTATTACTCTATTATAATATTATTTTAACATACTGAATTTAAATATTTAAAAATAATCTTTAATTATATATTTTCCAAATTAAAACAAATTGTTTTACATTTTATTGTTTGAAAAGCTATTGATTTATAACAAAAGTCAATATATTTAATATATATTTGTATTGTACTTTATATCGTAAATATCATAACATAATTAGGCAGAATTTTTGTTAATAATCAATTGGGTAATATTTTTTACTTTATGTAATTGATCGTTTTGAAGTTGAATGTAACAAATA